ATCTGTCACTACCTCCATTTTTTCCCCATCTATTTGCCAGAAAGTGAAGAGGAACTAAAGAGCCTCTTGATGCGGGTAAAAGAGGAGTGCAAAAGTTGGCTTGAAACTCAGCATTAAGAAAACTAAGATCATGGCATCCGGTCCTCTCACTTCCTGGCAAATAGATGGGGAAAAAATGGAGGTAGTGACAATTTTATTTTCCTAGGCTCCAAGATCACTGAAGACAGGGACTGCAGCCAAGAAATTAAAAGACATTTACTCCTTGGCAGGAAAGCTATGGCAAATCTAGACAACATATTAAAAAGCAGAGACATCACCCTGCCAACAAGTGTGTACAGTCAAGGCTATGGTTTTCTCAGTTGCAATGTATGGCTGTGAAAGCTGGATCATAAGGAAGGCTGAGCGCCAAAGGATTGAGGCCTTTGAATTTTGGCGCTCGAGGAGACTCCTGAGAGTCCCTTGGACTGCGAGATCAGACCAGTCAGTCCTAGAAGAGTTCAATCCTGACTGCTCTTTAGAAGGCCAGATACTGAAGATGAAACTCAAATACTTTGGCCACCTAATGAGAAGAAAGGATTCACTGGAGAAGAGCCTACTGCTGGGAACAATTGAAGGCAAAAGAAGAAGGGGATGGCAGAGAATAAGGTGGCTGGATGGAGTCACTGAAGCAGTTGGTGTGAGCTTAAGTGGACTCCAGGTGATGGAGGACAGGAAGTCCTAGAGGAATGTTGTCCACGGGGTCACGATGGGTCGGACACGACTTCGCAACTAACAACAACAAAGCATTTCCAAACTGTCACCAACAGAACAAGAACAAAACCCTACTTTTCTTCTTCACCACAGACAACAATTTCAGCATTACTCAGCATCTACATTAAGGAACAGATTGGTTAGTTACAAAAGTCGCCAGTAGCTGAGGTCTACTTTGTAAAACAATGTGCCTCTTCAGCACATCACTGTTCACTTCACCTGTTTCTACCTATCCAGTTGACCTCACAAAGTCCCTTGTACATGCTGGAGCAAACACAGAGCCAGCACCCGCCCCCTCTGGTTAAAGTCTCTGTTTTCTCAACTGTTATGTCAAATACATTTCCTTCTTTCAGAAAGCACGCAAAATTCCAGTGGGGAGGACACAAGACATAGGGAAAAATACGGCTGGGGAGAAAGAACAAGAGATGGGATTGGTACCTGTTTGCCCCTGTAGAAAAGCCTCTGTCTATCAGGTGCCACCTGGAATACTTCATATATCTTCTGCCTGAGATCTTCCACCTTGGTGAGCTTGGAAAGAGAATCCACTCGATGCGTTTCCTTCCCATCCATGGTGCGCACTTGGATCCACATTGTGGCAATAGTTCTGTCAAAGGAGAATTAGAGTCAACAGATTTACAAACATAGAAAGAAAGCTAGGGCAAAGCAGGAGTAGATGTATCACCCCACACTATGGTCTCTTCACATTGTCTCCCATATTCCCACTGAAAAGCTGAAATGGTGCAATGCATGAATTGTATTTTTAAAACAACCCTCTTGTTTCTCCAACATAAGTCTTGAGAGGCTCAAGAGAAAGCATGTCCTGGTAACGTCTACCAAGGTCCTACAAACACCCCCTCTTTTCCTGTCAGTCACTCCCCCTAATCCAGGGTCCCAATTCCAGAAACTCTGACCAAACCCAAAAAACTTCCCATACCAGTTGGACAGTTCAAACTATCACCTTCCTTATCTGTGCCAACAGCCACCCACTCCATTAACCCTGACCACCACTCCATTTTTGTGCAGTACTTTTTTTCCTCCAACTTATCACCTGTCTGGATACCCCCTTTGTAAGAACACTCAGCACACCCAAATCACTCCCTTCCCAACATTTGAACAATTGTTTAAGTTACTTCAGGCCCGATTTTTTTTCCCATTTCTCTGTTGGATTCAGTTACTGTGCTCACTTATTTTGACTGCAAACCATGTTTTAAAAAAAATAATAGAGCACCCAATAAGCAGATAGATCAAGGCTAGTTCATTGTATTAACTTAATGATAGAAGCTTTCCACCATTCACAGAGCCTTTCCTTATTTCCCCCCTCCTTTCTGTGCACTATTTTTACTTTTTTTACTATTCACCCCCCACAGATCTCCCTTCAAGCTCCCCCTTATATGTGCTTCTCTGGTCACCCCGCCATATTCTTATCTTAAGTCCCCAAGGGTACCTGTCTATCCGAACCCTCTGCACATTTATTTTCAATATCCCAAGACACAGAGCTTTCCAGGCAGTGCACCCCAATAAACGGAGATCTTCAGGTTGTGTCCCCTCTATGCAGAGTACTCCAGATTGCACCCCCTCATAAGCAATGCTCTCTGGCTAGCATCCCCATAAACAAAGGACTCTCTGCTTTGCTCCCCAAAGCTTTCTAGACTGCATTCCCCAATAAGTAGAGATCTCTAGCATCAAATATTCCAGACTCTCTGAATTGCAACTGAAAACACAAGGCTCTCCAGACTGTGACCCTAAGGCACTGGGACCTCTAGGTTGTGCCTCCCCAGTAGGCATGCTTCCAATTGCATCCTCCATACAGTTTTACATATTCTGCCGCAAAACACTGTTATCTGGATTGCACCCCAATACGCCAGGTGCTCTGAACTGCACCCACAGAAACGAAGGACTGCATTCCAACACCTACAAGCCTCTGGGTTGCGCCCCCAAATACGCTCTCCAAGCGGTAACACAGGCATCTCTGTGTGGATCCCGCCAGTAGGTCAGAGCTCTCTGCACTGCGTCCCCAGCAGACACAGCCGTGGGGCAGCGCCCCCGCCCTACCCATCCCATTTAGAAACCCCTTTACCACAGAAACGCGCCATAAGCGAAGCCCCCCTGCCTTAACGGCCACCTTTCCCGGGAGGGGGTCTCCTCCCTACCCGCGCAGCCCACCCCAACGGGTCCTTCCACCCCACCTCCGGAGAGCCTCGGATCCCCTCAGAGCCGGTAGGCGCGCGAACGCCGCAGCGTGACCGCTCAAAGCAACCGCGCCGCCTCCGCCTCCCGCGATTTTCTCCCCCAGGTCCACCTCCTTTCCTGTTCCTCCTTCCCTATTGGCCGTTTCCCGAGATCGGTCAAGCGCTCATTGGCCACCTCCGCTCCGCCCAACCCTCCCGCCTCAGTTCCCGCGACAGCAAGGTTGTATGCCCAACTCCACCTGAGGAAAAGTTTCTCCTCGCGGATTTCAGGGCGCGCGCCACAAAATTGAAAAGAAAACGCCCTGCCGCCGGGATTGGGGCGCGGAGCTCTCGCGAGACTACGCGAAATCCAAGGGGCGGGGCAGAAATGGGAGAAGGAAGGGAAGGTTTGGGTTTTTGGTTTTTTTTGTCTTTTTTTTTTAAATGATTATTTAAAGCAACAGCCTCCGAATAAAGGATCTTTTTCATTTTAAACACAAACGAAAGAACCGTTGCGGCAGTTTTTGCAACACAAAGACATAAAATCACAAGATTACAGCTGCAAGAGTTAACACTACTAATTGCCTTTTCCAAAATCATATTTCTGTGCATTTAATACTTACGTGAGCCAACCTGTGCATTTTTAGATGTAGGCAGAAGTCCTAGAACTACGCTTAGGGGGTGCATGCTGTGACATGTACGATTTCTTTTTCCATAGGCAGGATTGCAGCCTAGATCACTTTTAACTATTTGTGTTAAGATACATTGTCGAACCACGGTTAAAAGTGCTTCAAGCCCAATTGATTTGAATAATGAGTAATTCGTTTTAAATAGCTGCTTCCATACCTCACAGAAAAATGGCAGCTTGGACTAGAGTCCTGTATGAGCTTTTCTTGGGACCAAGGGTCCAAGTTATGTATGCTTAAAAAGGAAAACATCCCACAATAGGCTGACAGGTCCAGGCTGGGAGTTGCAGAATTTTTCCTATGGAAATATGCATAGGAAATACATGGATTTGTCATACATGGACTTAAGATCCCAGCACTGTACAGGCCAAAACACCAGCTTACTGCAGCTAAAATGTTGTGATCCTATGCATGCTAAGACAGAAAAGAACATTAAAATGCGAAGTATTCCCATTCTGGCTAAGGGAATGCTGAGAGATTCAGAAAGAACAGTTCAATGGCTGCACAGTATTTTCTCCTAAAATTTATTCCTGAGCAAGCACACAGGATTCTGTTAGTCCAATCAATTCCAATTCTATTTATCTTCTAGTACCATCGTATTTTGAGCACAGGAAAGCAGGACAACCTGGAGAGGACCTGGGGGAAGTCACAGAAGACCAAAAAGGAGATGGATGGAGATGCTTAACTTTGGTCAGTGTGCCCCCAGATCAAGCCAAACAGGAAGGGACCTTCCCCAAAACCTTCTTCCAGCACACTCACTCAGAAATAATCCCCCATGAGACCTTTGCTGCAGGCTGTATGAAAAGGAGATGAGAGGGGAGACAGCCAAGCTTTGCATTCACCTCTTCTCTTCCTACCCCATTTTCCTTTTGCATCACTGTTGGTCTCATTCCACAATGCTGGGACCACTAAAACGGGGCCCCAGGACTTGGTCCTTGCTAGTTCTCCTGCCTCTCGCTCTGGCCCAGGCAACAGCAGTGGAGAGAAGCCAGGGATGCCAAGCAAACAAAAGGGGGCCATGAGGAGGAGGCAGAGCTGCTCATGACCAAGGTGACGGGAAAGTGAGCTCACTAAGGGAAGGGGCCCATGCAGGATGCTTTCTCCAAGGAAATGTTGGCCCACTGTAGCCACTGCTGGCTGTAAGCAGATCCGAGGCAAATGGAAACCTAAACAAGCTAGCTAAAGGTCTCCTCGTGCTCCATGCAGCCATCCATCCAGGAAAGCACACCCAAGATACAGCCAGGGGGTGCAAACCTCAACATGCTTCCTTGGGTGGAAATGCTTAGCGATGCCACCCAGCTATTAATTGCCTGGCTTGGAAACAGTTCCATAGACGAAACCACCCCATGCCACAGGGGGGAGCCCACAGCCCTCTGGAGAGGGATACATTCTATCCAGGCAGAAAACATCCTTTTTCCAGCTCCTGAAGTTATCACCTAGTGTGTAGGTAATGTTACACCTGGTGTAGAGAGGAGAGGCAGGAAATAGGCATTCTGGAAAGGCGCAGAGAAGCCAAAAGATGCAGGTACTCATGTTCCTGTACAGCCTGGGAATAAACAAAGCTATGACCCCATCCTGACTAGAAAGAGCGGAGCAATTATTTTACTGAAACACGAGATTTGTACATCTGTGGAAGGAGGCTAGTGTGAAGTATGATCCTCACTTGGCAGCATAAAAGGGGTGGATTAGAAGCTGAAGTGCAATGAACTGCGAGCTGCCTCCCAGTTAAATTCATATCAAATAAGCACCACGGCTCTTCTGAAAAGCAGCAACTGGTGACAACGTTAACGATTGTTAAATCAGCAGTGAAAGCCAGTATGGTGGGCCTGGAAAACCTGGGTTCTAGTTCTCACTTGACCATGCAGCTCACCAGGTGACTCTGGCCTCACAGCTCACAGCCTAACCTACCTCACAGGGTTGTTGTGAGGATTAACTGGAGAAACATTTAAGCCACTTTGAGTTCCTTGCGAGAGGAAGGTCAGGCACACATGTAGTAACAGCACCCTCTGGAATGGCCAGGAAGACAGCAAATGTCCAGGATCCAACCTGGTTCCAGAGCTGAGCCCAAATCTCACAAGAAGAGCTAGCAAATACAGAAATTCTCTCTCCCCCAAGGGGTTTAACATCTTGCCACCTATGGCCCTTCCTCTGAAAATACCTCTATGATCCCTGCCCCTCCAGAAAAACTCCCGCATTATTAAGTGTGCATATACACTGCGACAAGTGGTGGTGGGGAATCCTTCAAACACAGTGGATGGGCTGCACTCCCTCACCCGGTCACCAGAACTCAGAGACCACCTTGACAGTATCACAATAGCACACCCATCTTCTCCTCCTAGAAGGTGCGGCACAGGTAGGAGGCCACCTTACCCCTCCTGCAGAACCCTGACATAAGCTTTAAGCCTGACCATCATGGACTACAACTCCCAGCATCCACCAGACCAGTTGGGAAAGGTTGGTGCATGCTATACTGCTGCCCACTGTATAGCACAATGCAAAGAGTATTTTTATCCTACAAAGACCCTGGTGCAGAGCAAACTACGCTGGGTCTAAATAACGGGCATTGTTTATTGTGGGTGGGGCAACTCGGAACATTCCTAAGCGCAGCCCCATGCGCCTGGGATCAGGGCCTCAAGGCTAGTACTAGCCTGAGAAACCTGCAGCGCAGAAAGTGCAGAAAGCCATGCAGAATCCGTTCGGATCACATTCAGCTTTAAGTCTGACATGGCAGTGCTGTGTTGGGTTGTGGGTAAATTGCATTTCTTGTTAGAGCCATTGACTCAAAATGCAGCAGATCATCAAGGAAAGGTAAGAAAGATACAGGTTAGCACTCCAGCCATTTTGGACTTCAGTTGCCAGCATCCCCACTCACAGACCATGCAGGCAGAAGCCCCCGGGTGCTGAAGACCAAAGCCGCTGGAGAACCACCTTCCACTTGCCCCTGCATTAAAGGATAAAACAAAACCTAACATCACTGACAAAACATAGTTATTTCCACTAGTCCTCATGGATACCCTCTAAAAGAAACTGGATTGAGGGGGTTTTTAGTACCCCAAGTCAACTGAAAAGCATCTCTTCAATGCTAGAAAATTGGCTTTAAAAATAAGGAAGTGGTTGAAAGAAGCGGCCACCCTCTACTGGCATTGGCAGAAAACTGCCAGACTCTTAATTTGTTCTTTTGACATCAGCTGCGACAAAAAAGCCCGCCAAGAGCCGCCCCTCCCCATTTTCTAGGGGGAATTTTGGCTGCAGCCCCTTTCTGGATTTTTGTAGCAAAAACTGCTTCTGGACAAGCAAATCTACCTTCCTAGAGCAGTGCTTGCTGGACAAATCTTACCACATGTTTTCAGGTTTTAGCGGAGACCAAAACCAATCCAGCCTGGAATTTGGGGGGTGGAGGGTGGCCGTGCCTCGTGTGCTGGGTCAGAAAACTGGAAACCAGCCATGGGTGAAATCTGGAGACAGCTACAGGGTTGGCACTTCTTGATGGTCTGGACTTGTTGTGAAGACGAGTTTCCCGCCACCAATCGCTCCCAGGGCAGATGGTGCAAAGACAAAAAAAAACTGGCGGGAAGCGCCTCTTCCTTTAATCTCCCCAGGGCGGCAGTGATCTCCGCACCACGCAGATGCACAGGAAGGAAAGCTACACTGGAAGCCCACTTCTGCATAAATTCAACAATTAAAGGCAAGTTTGGGGGGCAACACCAAATTTCCCTGGCCGTTGCGAGCACGGCACTGAAAGGGGCAGGACAAGTCTCTGAATAAACCTACAGTTAGAGAGGATTGGAGGAGCCATCTTCATCATGACCCCTGCAGTTCTGTTGCACTACAGCTCCCATCATTCCTCACCAGCCTGGGAATGATGGGAACTGTAGTGCAACACATCTGGAGTGCTGAGTCAGAGAAGGCTGGGTTAGAAAGATTCATGTTTTGAATTGTTGTGTTTTGAATTGAGCCATGATGGTTTCAGCTATAATTGTAACAATTATTTTCACTCTTCAATGACATTTTCATTAATATTCAGTGGCAATTATTATTAAACATGGAAGAGAAGCACCTCAGCTGCCTTGAGCTGTGATTGTTGTGAAGACAACCCGCCTTTTCTTCACTGGCTGTCTGGTTCCTGGGTATGCGAAGCAAACAAAAGGGGGACGGGCTGCCAAAAGGGCCCCAATTTGTGAGGTTGGCTGTCCCAGAAGCAAGGCGTATTCATCATGCTGTATCCTCACCGGAGAGCCCCGCAAAATTTAATGGAGCAATGGCATCAGATGCAGCCTTAGGTCTGATCAAACCTGTACTTGGCCCTTCTCTTACAGACGAAGTATGCTTCTAGTTCTCATGGTTCCAAAAATCAAATTCAGGACATTTACAAAGGGTGCTTTCAGCATTTCAGGATGGGAAAAGTAGCACACAAATAATGAGAAACCATTGAAAGGTGACTGGGGGAAAATGGTGAGGAGCCCAGGAAAGGAGGGGCTGGACCTATCATAGCCCCAGGAGGTGGGAATTTGGCCCCTGATCCTTAGGTTGCCTCACCATGATCCACCACTTCAGGGTTTCCTTTCCTACAAATTGAGGATCCAGGGACCAAATCCAGGGCCTTTTGCATTTCAAGTTTATGCAATCTATCCCTGAGCTAATATTCTTTGGTTAGACATCCCATGTATGTTTAGGCAGAAAAAAAGGCCTACAATTCCCAGCATGCCCCAGGCATCCAATGGCAAAAGACACAGCACTGAAGGAAAAGGGGATGAAGAGGGTAAGACAGGATGTGATGTTCAGCAGAGCTCCCCTCACCATCTTGTTGCTGTGACAGTTGATGGAGCCGCCCAAGACAGGGCCTAAACCTGACTTCATAACCTCACAAAATAAAGTCATGTTCCATGGGTTCAGTACAAATTAATGAACTCCCACTGAGCCTTATTCCAATTTATATCCCACTTTTTCACCCCCGCAAGGAACCCAAGCTTACATAAGCCTTGTCCTGCTGCCGTCATAGCCTCACAACAACCCTGTCAGGTAGGCAAGGCGGAGGGTCTGTGACTAGTCCCAAATCAGCTACTGGGCCTTACTGCCTGAGTACTAGGACTGTCTTGTTTAAAAAGCAAACCTTGCTTTTTAAGGCTGCCCAACTGTTTCCCTTATGCTCCTGAAGCTGCATCTTTCTGCCATAGCCAGAGGAGAAAATAAAGGAAGAGACCCCAGGTTGACTTTAAAGACTTTTAGCCAGCTTTAACCTTTCTTAGGATCAAGCTTTGTAATGATGCCTGTCTAGCCACTCTGCTCCAGAAGTAAACTCCATCGAAGCCAAGTAGATTTCCTTCTGAGTAAACAAAGCAGATCCACCCACTCCATTCTATAGGGCTTACTTGTAAGTAAATGAACACCTTTAGAAATATCAATTTCCACTGTGTGACTGTTGTATTAAAGATCTTACTTCTTTTTAAAAAAATATCTTTGCTGTTGGCCACTTGTACCCACTTACTTACCTGGTAGTAAAACCGACTGAACTCAATGGGGCCTACTTCCGAGTAGACACGCACAGGACTTGTACACTTCAACTGCACGAAGAAATAGACAGTTGACCTGTCTATTCGCAGTTGCAACCCCCAAACGCCTTGCAGCAAATCCCATTGAATTCAATGGGGCCTATGTCTGGGTGAAGGTGCGGTTTTCTTCTCCCTTACGGGGCAGGAAGTCCTATTCAACTCGATGAGCTAACTTCCGAGTAAATGTGCATTGAATGGCGCAAACAAACAACACATTTAAAATTTGCAACCTGAAAAACAGAAGCTGAACGAAATCACAGGAAACTGCAAATAATGGTAATACTTTTTTCTCCGGGGGGACTTCCCCCCAGACCTAACATGGCCCCCACCATCCAAATACTGCGGCCATAAGCGCGCGAGCACCCCTTGGCAGGGGGGAAATCGCATTATATCCCATGGGGTTTACATCCGAGTAAAATCATCAATAAAAGTCTTATCGACAGGATTTCTGGAGGAAGGGAATACTGCAAAATACTCACCTTGAAAAAACCAACCTTTTTCCCCCTCTCTCTCTCTGGCCCCCCCAGATCACTTGCAAATCCGAGGGCGAAGAAGGCGCGCCTTTCCCAAAATAAAAAAAAAAAAAATAAAGTGCAAAATGAAATTGCACTTAAATCGGTGCCAGATGCTTCTGGAGACTCAAATGTGGCGATCGGAAAAAAATATGTATTTCTATAGTATTACTTTTCAAAAGAGAAGCACTTAAGCTCCAAGCGCAGCCGCGCCAAAACCAACTTCTTTTTATCTTGCGCCGCCCGGCTTTGGAGTTTGGCGGGGAAAATCGCGGCGTAGCGCCCGGAGACTCCTGATTGGCCAGCGGTGGCGGGAATTGAGCAGAGGGGCGTGGCCACCGCGCCGTCCCCCTCGTCCCCGGTTCTTTCCTCCGCTCGCTGAGTTGTGCGCAATGAGGAATGGCGTCTTGCTGAGCTGTATGAAGAGAGCAGTCCTGACTTAGGCGTAGCTTCCCCGATAATCTCCATGCCCCTTCTGTACTGGTTTGGCGCCTTACTGCCTTGAGGGCCCTTGCAATTTACTGCATGGAACAGGGGAAGGAAAAATACTCTGTCTGTTCTCAGAGGCACTCCTGCCTGCCCGTCTTCCGGGACTGGCTTCGGGGGTTTCTGCTTAATGCAACTACCCCAACCTGGTGCCTTCCCGATGTGTTAGCAAGAAAATGACCTTTGTGGTCCAGGTTCTTCTTCACACTGCGGACAACGGCCTGGCCACAGGAGCACATGACCAGGCCAGTGTGGCAGCACCTTCCTGTTACGCTCCTCACATTGGAGGAAGCTCATAGCCATGAGGACTAATGGCCATGGATAGATTTCTCCACCATAAATTTGTCCACTCCCTCCAAATTGGCAGCTGCCACTGCACTGCATGGAAAGGAATTCCGCAGGTTATTGCTGCACGTGTGATGCAAATAGCCCCTTCCTTTTATCCACCTGAATCTCGCACCTCTGGGTGCTAGCTCAGTACTGCTGGAACTGGCCATCCTTACTCCCTGTACTCAGACACCAGTGTCGCTATTGAATGGCCTACAAGTAGGTGAGTCACATCGGGTAGTGTCCAGGTGTATTGTCAGGAAGAGGGTTGAGGAGAAGGCAGGGAAGCGTCCACAGGTAAGTTTCAGGGTGAACTGCAGGTGGTCGCAATGGTTTCTGCCTTCCAACAGTTTTAACAAATGACAGGTATAATTATTGTCTGCCCATTGTGTTTCCTTGAACTCCTTTCTCTTCTCCTGTAAAATGAGAGTGTTAAGCAATTGTAGCCCAGTTTAGCAGAACAAAGGCCCACAATTCCCAGCATGCCAGAGCCAGTGGGGCATGCACAGAATTGAGTGCCTTTTTTTCCAGCTAAACGTGCAAAGAATTGCAGCCTTAATTGGTTGCCCTGGGACAGATCTTTGTTTAGCTCTGCTGAGTCCTTTAATTTTATTTCACTTATAGACTGGAATCAGATCTCCTTAACTAAAGAGCCACTTGATGTGGGTGAAGGAGGAGAGCGCAAAACATAGAAACAGAGCTTGGCTTGAAATTGGCTTGAAACTCAACATTAAGAAAACTAAGATCATGGCATCTGGTCCTCTCACTTCCTGGCAAATAGATGGGGAAGAAATGGAGGTAGTGACAGATTTTATTTTCCTGGGCTCCCAGATCACCGCAGACGGCGACTGCAGCCAAGAAATTAAAAGAGGCTTGCTCCTGGGGAGGAAAGCTATGGCAAATCTAGACAGCATACTAAAAAGCAGAGACATCACCCTGCCCACAAAAGTGTGTATAGTCAAGGCTATGGGTTTCCCAGTGGCGATGTATGGCTGTGAAAGCTGGACCATAAGGAAGGCTGAGCGCCAAAGGATTGAGGCCTTTGAATTGTGGTGCTGGAGGAGACTCCTGCGAGTCCCTTGGACCGCAAGGCGATCAAACCGGTCAGTCCTAGAGGAGATCAACCCTGCCTGCTCTTTAGAAGGCCAGATCCTGAAGATGAAGTTCAAATACTTTGGCCACCTAATGAGAACGAAGGACTCCCTGGAGAAGAGCCTGATGCTGGGAACAATTGACGGCAAGAGAAGAAGGGGACAGCAGAGGATGAGGTGGCTGGATGGAGTCACTGAAGCAGTCGGCATGAGTTTAGTGGAGGACATGAAGGCCTGGAGGAATCTTGCCCATGGGGTTGAGATGGGTTGGGCGCGACTTCGCAACTAACAACACTGTATATTCATCAGGAATATGATTTAGGTTATACCAGAGTGGCCTAGTGCTTTTCCCTACTTTCTTTAATTTAAGCCTAAATTTTGTAACAAGAAGCTCATGATCTGAGCCACAGTCAGCTCCTGGTCTTGTTTTTACTGACTGGATAGAGCTTCTCCATCTTGGCTGCAGAGCACATAGTCAATCTAATTTCTGTGTTGACCATATGGTGATGTCCATGTGTAGAGTCGTCTCTTGGGTTGTTGGAAAAGAGTGTTTGCTCTGACCATCGTATTCTCTTGACAAAATTCTACCAGCCTGTGCCCTGCTTCATTTTGTACTGCAAGGCCAAACTTGCCTGTTATTCCGGTTATCTTTTGGCTTCCTACTTTAGCATTCCAATCCCCCATGATGACATCATTTTTGGTGTTAATTCTAGAAGGTGTTGTAGGCCTTCATAGAACCGGTCAACTTCAGCCCCTTCAGCACCAGTGGCTGGGGCAAAGACTTGGACTACTGTGATGTTGAATGGTTTGCCCTGGACTCGAACTGAGATCATTCAGTCATTTTGGAGATTGTATCCCAGTACTGCTTTTCCTACTCTTTTATTGATTATGGAGGCTACTCCATTTCTTCAGAGGGATTCTTGCCCACAGTAGGATACCCGATGGTCATCTGAATTAAATTCACCCATTCCTGTCCATTTTAGTTTGCTGATTCCCAAGATGTCGCTGTTCAGTCTTGTCATCTCTTGTTTGACCACGTCCAGCTTGCCTTGATTCATGGATCTTACATTCCAGTTTCCTGTGGAGTATAGATCTTTGCAGCATCGGACTTTCCTTTTACCACCAGATACATCTGCACCTGAGTGTCCTTTCGGCTTTGACCCAGTCGCTTCACTCTTTCTGGCGCTACTAGTACTAGCCCTCTGCTCTTCCTCAGGAGTACATTGGACACCTTCCGACCAGAGGGGCTCATCTTCCGGCATCATATCTTTTTGCCTTTTGGTACCGTCCATGGCATTTTCACGGCAAGGGTACTGGAGTGGGTTGCCATTTCCTTCTCCAGTGGATCTGAGCTCTCTGCTATGGCCTGTCCGTCTTGGGTGGCCCTGCACGGCATAGCTCATAGCTTCACTGAGCTACACAAGGCCCTTTGCCACGATAAGGCAGTGATCTATGAAGGGACAGATGCGCCTGCCTGGGTCTTATTTAAGGAGCAGGGCCTTTTTGGTGACTGCTCCCAGGTTTTGGTAAAACTCCCTGCCAAGGGAGGCTGCAGTGATTCCCTGACCTTCCAACAGCAGTCTGTATCAAGCAGCTTCAGGGCACATAAGCTGCTTTGTTCAGCTGAGTGCTGCTCTAATTCTGTTCCGTGGTATTTCATTGTGCTTTGAATATGTTTATTTTGTTAGTATTTTAATCCACAAGACTCTTTGTCTTCAGAAATGTAAAACAGAATAAAAGTGAAGTGAGGTCTTTTAAAATGATGTGTAATGTCTTGTAGAACAAATTAAAAGAGGGGCCTGGTGGTGAGACTGCTGATCTGCTGTGAGATCATTTCAGAACCACGGTCCTCCCTTGGTCAATGACTAGTGTGATGGCACAGGCTGCATTCAGACAACACAATAAGCCAGGCTCAAGGGGTAAGTTTGGGTTATTGTTGTCTGAACACCACTGGGAAAGCAAACCATGATGAACCAGTTCTTGATCCAACAACAAACTGTGGATTCTTTTCATGGGTTGTTCTTAATTAACAAGCCATGGATTGTTAGCAGGGCTTGGTTTGGATAACTGGATAGTCCAAATTTCAACAGCCACCCACAGTTCAAGAATGACCCGCACTCAGCCCCTTACTGTGGTTGTTGTGTTGCCTGAGCACAGCCACACTAACAAGCCATGATTTGTTAATCTTGAACAACTCACAGTTCACAACTGAATAGCAAACCATGGATTCTCTTCCTGAGTGGTTTGTGGTTAACAAGCCATGGCTTCCTAGCATAGCTGGGTTCAGACAACACAATAATGTACGTACATTTCAACACTCAGCACATATTTAATTGTGGATTCTTGCATTGTCTGAACCCAGCCACAGAGAACAAAATTTCCAAGGCTGGCCATCAACACCAAGAAGGTCTGGAGAGGCCTAGGAAGAAGGGCTGGTCCCGGGGCAGGTTGCTTGAGCCCTATGGAGTATCTCCACCCCCATGGCCCAAGCACATGCCAAAGACTCCCTGTGCGACACACAGGTGAAGACAGACTGAAGGTACCTCCGCCAAAAACAAGCAAGGAGCTCAGCAAGAGCTGCAGACGCACAACTGGCCCATGCTCCTGCCCACTTGCAGTGCACACCCGGTTGTGATGTCACAGACATGCTGACATTGGCCAGGGCCAGCCTCCCAGCCAGCAGCCCGTAGCGGGAACTCCCAGGCTGTGGGGCTTAGCAATCCTGAACGCTGAGCTCCCACCCATGTCGGTGGTGAGGTCCATGCAGCTGGTGATCCCGAAGGAGGTCTACGTGGCCGGATCTGACGTGGACGGGCGGCTGGAGTTGAGTCTCCACAGCACACTGGTGGACCCCCTGGTGAAGGTCGAGCTGATCGGAAGGGGTTACCTGGAGTGGATGGAAGAGGCTGACGTCAAGAAGGACTACAGCCAGCCAGCCACGTGTGTCAACAAAGCTGATTATGTCCACAAGACGAAAACCTTCAAGATACAGCGTGAGGCCACAGGGCGTCCCAGGCGACTTCTGCAGTGGGAACATCTGCAGTGGGATTGCACGGGGGGAAAGGGAGGGGCAGTTCTGGATGTCTTTCCGAAGGATTCAGAAAAACTGGAAATAGTTCCTAGAAAGACAACAAAGATGATCAGGGGACTAGAAATTAAGTCCTAGGAGGAGGGAGGAAAGGAATTGGGTGGATTTAGTGTGCAGTAGAGAAGATCAAGATAAGTCTTGTCAGCACAAGGTAATGGGTGCAGATAGCAGTTAAACCTTCTAAGGGCCAAAATGGATCTGACTGCCTGGGGAGGAGGTGGGCTCGATGGATCAGCAACCCTGTGCCTGGGAGCCTTGACACTGGACCCTTTCACTGAGTTGGGGGCTTGACTCAGCCACCTTTGAACTCTGGCTCCTTTCTACTGTACGATTCAACTCTGTGAACTGGGAAATTGTAGCAACGGGCTCCGTCCAGTCCCCCCGGAAAGGAATCTTGCTGGAACCCTCCAGGCAGCTGTTTCCCGTTCCTGCAGTCAACATGGGAGACAAGCCCTGGATGCTGCCAACCCAGGGCACACTTTGCCCAAAATTGTCTGCCAGGGCGTGGAATGTTTTCCATTTCAAGGGCTGATTTCGGTTTTGGAGTTCTTGGGGGCTGCACTTGGGTGGTGAGCAGAAAGGAAGGCTAAAGCAAATGGAACAAAAATGCATAAACCTGCATAGAGATGGTTAAAGCTCTGCCTGCCGCCAAGTAGACCTTAAGTGGAGCCATGTTGACCTTTTGCAATGGGGAAAAGCCATGCAGAAGTCAGGAAGCCAGCAAACAACTGGCAGTTGGAAAAGGCAGGGTGCTGAGATGCACCTACAAGAAGCCAAATTTCACCCCAGGCCAAGGACTGGCAACCGCTCACCAGGTTTCTGACAAAGGTCTTTCTCTCTGAGTCCTACTTGGAGATGCTGGGGATGGAACTGGAGACATGTGGATGCGGTGTGTGTGCTGGGCCCCTGAGCCTGGATTCTGCATGCCAAGCCAGCCCCTCCACTGCCGCTTTGTAGCTCCAAAACTAGAAAATATGGGGACGGAGTTGTGTGTAGCGCTGGCTAGGCAGACCCCGAGGGTTTTCATCAGAGCCAGAATATTTCATTTCATCTGTATCCACCCACACACTGAGGCTTTCTGGGCAGTTTACCATGATGAGAGACCCCCTCGCCCCACCCACAGTCAAGGCACTCTTCCAAAGGGGCTCTTTCCTCCTAGGTGGATCTCGGCCACAGGCCAGCTCTTAAATCAGCTTCCCCGAGCTGGGCCTGCCTTCCCTGGCACTGGCACTCCCCGGGACTTGGGTGCTCAGCCTCCTCCTCTGAGACAAGATGCAGCCCTGCCCAGTGTCTGGTAGCTCAACAAGATCCTCTGTGCACAGAGGCCCCTGCGGAGGCTCAGATTCTGGCAGCAGCTGTGCACTGTCCCCCAGCGGGCCCCAGCCCTCAAAACATTGCTGCGAAAAGCTGCAGTTCAAGACCTCCAGGCGAGCTACTCCAACTCGGCATGGTGCAGATGTGTGGGCTTCATTGCCAGCTGCCCAATGATTCCACAGTACAGGAACAGGGCCTTATCTTGAGTTCCTTGCAAACGGAAGAATGATCTGGGGCAAATGTAATGGGACAACAACTGAGCTAGACTAGCCAATCAGGTTCCCATCTCTGGCCCATCCCTTCCATCACTTTTCCAATTTGGTTCTGGGCCCAATATAAGTTGCAAGACTGAAACCAAGGGGGAGCAATTTGCGGATCTCCGGATGCTCGGGTCTTCCAGCATCTGGCATCAGTGGCTCTGGTGGCCAAAGATCTAAACATCTGGAAGGTCGCATGTAGTTCACCTCTGCCTGAACAAGCCGGGATCCAAATAGCTGCCTTGAGTATCATTTTCTTAGTAGAAAGGCAGGGGAAAAATCAGGCTAAATCAAATCAGTTAATCATTATCTGACTAAATGTTAATAAAAGTTGGCGCCATGATGGCGGAAGTCCCCTTCTTTTGCATATTTTTGGTAACTCCTTCCTTGTGGCTTATGCACCATCATAAACATTTTCACCCCACTTTCTCCAGCTCTAATTTTGCTGCATGGGACACTTTCTAGTTTCTAAATTGCTTTCAGTGCCTAAAGTCTACCTCAGGGGGTCCAGCAATGATTCTGTAAAGAAATACAAGAGAACCGCTTTCCTAGCATTTCGTTTGCTTTGGGCTTGCACCAAAGCAAAGAACTCGGTGTACCAAAGCAAGAAAAAGTAAGCAACATCTCTCCTTGGTCTGCAGGGAGCTGGCTGGGTCCTGGCGTCCACACTTTTGACTTCCACTTCGTCTTACCTCCCAGGATCCCATCAACCTTCACAAGTCGGGTGGGCCGGATCTCTTACTTCCTCCAAGCCATTTGTGCTACGCGGGAACTTATCCTTGGGAAGCAGAAGAGGTATCTGATGGTGCAAGGGATCTCCATCTTCCGCCAAGACATTGTGGAATCGGAGGTAGGCCTTTGGAGGTGCAGCTGCCTTCCTTCGCCAAGGAACACAGCAAGAAAAGTCTCAGAAGCTCAACACCCAAGGTTCTGTTTTGCTCATTTCCATGGTCACCACAACCTTCTAAAATTCCAGAAGCCTGGAATCAAAATTGGATTGTATATGGGTTCTGTCTTCTCAAAGAAGATGGCATAACCTGAGCGAACATGCAGGAGAATTGCTGCTCCTGCTGCTGCTGCTAATATTATGAAATACTAATTATCATCCCTCTTTCCTGCAAGGAGCCCACAATTCCCACCAACCTCAATTTTGTCCTCATAACAACCCAGTAAGTTAGGCATTGGGGAGAGATCGTGACTGGGTTCAGAAAACACTATAACCCACACCCAAGCGTTGTCACAGAACCATGGGTGGCTGACGTGGGCGTGGATGGCAGCTGCACCGGATTGGGGGTGGGGCGCAAGGGCGCGAGCTTAAGATGGTGCAAAATAGAGCTGCCAGGATGCTGTCAGGGACTGGGCATTATCCTCATATAACCCCAGTCCTCTATCAGCTCCATTGGCTTCCCATTGAAGTCCAGGCTCAATTCAAGGTGCTGGTTATTACCTATAAAGCCCCAAATGGCTTGGGACCAGGATACCTAAAGGAACACCTTTTTCCTTATTTGCCCTCCCACCCCCTGAGATCAGCAGCAGAGGCCCTCCTCCGGGAACCCTCCGTGAAAGATGTTAAGAGACAGAGTACCTGGAGGAGGGCCTTCTCTGCGGTGGCGCCCCATCTGTGGAATGCGCTCCCCAGAGAGGTCCGCCTGGCGCTGTCGTTATATGTTTTTTGGCACCAGGTCAAGACCTTTTTCTCGATCAATATTTTAATATGTATTAATTGGATTTTATTGTTTGTATTTTATTGGATTTTCAGCCAGCGTGGAATAGTTAATTTATTTTATTTTGATTAATGTTGTAAGCCGTCCAGAGACTGAAGTAATGGATGGCATACAAATTTTATAAATAAATAAAAATAAATTGTGCTCTCTGAGCCCAGCTAAGAAACCATGGTGAACAGACCTGGATTCACAATCCAGCAACAAACCCTTTGTGGGTTGCTTGTGGCTAACAGACCACACAATAACCATGTTCTGGCATTCCCTGCTTCTCGCCACCATCATTGTCCAGCCCTTAGTGGGTTCCCAACCATGCTTCCCCACAACCAAGACCAAGGATTCTCTCCCAGTGGAACAGAATTCCTCCTCTTCCCTGTAGAGATGCCTTGCATTTCTACACTGCCTTTCCTCCCAAGGGCTTCAAACCACATATAGGTTTCCCCTTGGCATTCAATCCTCACAAAACCCTGTGACGCAGGTTCATCAGGAGAAGCCTGGCCCCTGGCCTAAGGCCCCCCAGAGGCCACAGGGGCATGGCAGGATTGGGCCCAATATCTTCACGGCCTTAGCCTTGTTTCAGTGCTTCTGTCATGCACACCTCTTCTGGAGAGATTCTTTTCTGGGAAAAGCGGCCTATTTTGGGGAAACTGATAGACTCTGAGGGGGAGGTGGCTGGCCTAGGCAAGGCTCAGACCTCCAGCTCTGATAACGGAGTGGCTGTTGTGACGGGCGGCTCCACTTGCAGCCCCAGGTTCTCGGTACCCATCTGTATCTGCTCTGCTGAGATGAGGTTATTTCAAGGACTGCTGGGGGCTGTGGAATGAAGGAGAAGAAGAGAAACCTCGAGAGGGAGAGATTTGCTCCTGGAATTCCTCTCTCGGATAAGCAGCACCCGCCTCCTGAGGAGCTAGGCCCGAGGGCCCGTTGCTTCAGCCGCAGGCTGGCTAATGGGGGGGCTCAGAGTGCAGCACGCAGGAGCCCCCAGGTCCACAGCACCCCCCCCCC